TTGCAAAGCTCTCTATCCCACTGGTTATTATTAGCACCAAATTGTGTAAAAGACCTATTAAACACTATAAGAGGTCAGGTCAGACAACAGCTTTAAAGCTGAAATCTCAAATAACAGCATAAAAAGACTGCAGCTAAAAGTAATTAAACTCAAAAGTGTTGGAGTTTAAAGACTTGCAACAGGAGCTCCAGACACATCTCAGAAACCAGCAGATGTGCTTTTTTACTCAGATACAATTGCTACAGAAACCACAACTGCAATTTAACAAAGGTAAGTCATGCATTTGGATATGAATCCATTACTCTTAATACCTTCTTCTTAATCCAGTTTATAATAAGTGACAGAATTAATGTGGTAAGTACAAAATCACCATGCAGTAACAATAGTTACAGCCAGAGCAAAAGCAAAGATAAGACAAACTCATGGCCAAAATTTCTCCCCTCCTTTTATCAGCAAGTCAAGAAAGATACTGCTCCTTGTAACTACATAGCCCTGTAATGCTACGTTCTGGGAACAGCTACAAGCTCAACACTGAACTTCTGAGGCATCAGGGCTGATGCTGGTCATGCTTGCTCTGGCTGAACTCCCTCTGCCCTACCTGCTGCTTGGCTTTAATTCATTTAGCTGTGACAGCAATTTTTCTAACTGACCAGATGTCTCTGGCCAATTTGTTTTACCTTTGCTATCTTTGTATGGTGCAACCACTGACAGCAGTTGTTCCATGTATAATTAGATAGCTGCATCTGTAATACAGTGATGTAAAGAAATGCAGGCCTGCTAAAGACAGCAGAGGTCTTAAGAAATGGAGACCCAGGATGCAACATGGAGGAGTACAAGCCTAGGATCACATGAAAAGGGGCACTGGCTTGGCACTGGAGACTACAACAGCTCTGAGAAAATTCTCAGAAACTTCTCTGTTAAAGAAATGCAGACTTGGCCCTGCACAGAATGGTTTCAAGGATAACCAACAGAAAAAAGTAACTGTATCTCACATGAAAGGAACTGCATACAGTAATTTGGATGTAGCACAAAGCTGGAGATCAGTAAACAGAGAGTGAAGGTAAAGAAATTTGTAACCAAACGCACAAAAATGACCACAAATAGATTCTGGGGTAAATAGAAAGAAACAATCAGCTGCTCTCAGTGAAGGATTTAAACATAAGAATGCCTTAAACATAAGAGCAGGAGTGGTTCTCAAACTCTGAAATTAGAGTTTCCCTCTTTCACAGGTTGAAAAGCTTTATATTAATATTTAATCTTCTTTTCTCTTTAAGTCACTTAAGGAAGATATAGTATTCCTCCAGGTCCTCATATTTCCCTAAGAAAAGTCTCAACTGAAACTTTGTAGATACTGCTTGCCTACTCTAGCTGTGATTTTATTTCAACTCATTCCCTTCCTGATTTACTTTGGTGCTGGCACTAAATAATGCTTTTAGCCCTTCAGCAGCCAGTTGAGAAATCCATAAATAGTTTGAGGATAATTCTTGTAATGAGTATCATCACAGAATGAGTGACTGAAATCCAAGTGCATAAATGCAAAACTAAACTCTTGAAGCATTTACAGTTTTAATACAAACATGACAATGCAAGAAAAAGAATTGTACACCAATTTATACATGAAAAAGAGACTTGCATAGATTAAGTGAACTTTGGTCAGAAATTAAGCCTTTGAAGCCTAACACCTTCACTACAAGACTGTCAGTTGCTAGAGGACATGATTACGGACATGAAAACTCAAGGCTGCAGGCTGAGATAACAGAACCTGACAGTGTGGATAAACTATGCAGTAAATCTTACCTGTCTGTTTCTCCTAAGTTCAGATTAACACTGCGAGCATGAACACAAACTCACTTCTTGGAAACTGAGTTTCCAAGAAAGCATTAGTCACCTTTGTAAGACAAACATTGATGTTTTCAAAAGATACAAAAGAACCGGTGAAGTGTCATTAAGAAATGACGCAAAAAATGCCAATATTTTTTTCCCCAATGAATCAGGATCATTTCCAAGAGGATATTGCAGTTTTGAAGCTGACTATATAGCCTTCCTCTACGTAAAATGACTGTGAGGAGAAAGGAAATATAACTGGAAGAGACACAAATGGTATTTTTGTCTGAGATCTTTCAGAAAATTAATACAAGCTTCATGCATTAACAAACAATGTAATATATAACAAGATATACCCAAAATGGAATTTTTAAAAGAAATACTTCATCTTCCTAGTTATAGCAACAATAACAAGAACCATTACTAATACTGGCAATTCCTAGACTTAAGTAGTTATTGTCATACCCTAAGAATTTATATAATTATCATGCACCAACAATATGATCATACCCTAACAGAAACCTAAAAATCCCCTGTGAACACAGATGTGCACACGCACACAAAATGCAAGCATCCCCCTCACAGGCATTAAGAGTAGTCCTTGCAGAACAGACAGAGGAAGCTTGGGTCCCTCTGCTGTTGGATAGCTGCTCAGGTCTGTACCTACACCTCAGAATCTGCACCAGTGCAAGCCTCTGGAGACAAGTGCATTTCAGGAGCTCACAGAATTGCTCCTATTTACAATGCAAGGTGTATATACTTGAATTTAATAAAATAGTTGCAGTCTGCCACAACACAACATTTATGGCCACACTTTGGCTTTCTGAAGGACAGAAAAAAACCCTTTAGCAGATAAGTTATCTCATAACAAAATAAACTTAGAAGAGCAGCCCATGCATTTAACAAAGAAATTCCAGAGGCTGAACAGGTCTGCTTTCTTCGACTTGCTTTCCAAAAAAACTTTAATTAAAGATAAAAATGAGATGCACAATACCTTTAATAGCATAGAAGATATTCACCTCAAATCACTACGTCTTAAAGGAGTGCTTAAATTATATACTTCCAATTGTCATTTATCAAAATTCTTTCACTTCATATCCTCAGAGGTTTATGCGTTTTTCTCTTCATGAAGTTTTACTGATTGCTTAAGAATACATGGTAAGTATGTTAGAAATCATGGTTATGAAGTACCACAGATCAGCTTCCTATTGAAAGTACCACAGCAACAAAATGCACATTTTGACAATGAGGATTGCTAGAATGCTAAAGAAAAGCAACGGCAAGTAGAACTTACAAGAAAAGGGAGGATACTGACACCAGAGGTGAGCTGCTGTGAAATGGAGTGTGTGGTGGCAGAGGATCATCTCTATTTGCGACACGTCAGACTGTACAGAGGATGTGATTTTCTAGATTCACATATTCCTGGGAAGATATCTCAGTGATCAGAAACACAGCTGCACTATTCACACATGCTGCTTGACACAGTCTGAGAAGTAGACTCATTTAAATACTCCATGCCATGACTGCAGATTCTCACCAAGGTTAAAGAAATCAATGCAAATTCAAAATACCTTCTTTTCAAAACTACTATTCAAACCCAGATCATTTAGTTTACATACTAATTTTAATTATTTTTCCTTTGTAAACCGTACGCTTACTGATGAGTCTTATCAGATTTAACAACTCTATATAATTTGCTATGTAATGTAAATAACTGAAATAATGTAGCATTTGGTTAAGTAAGTTTTAACAAGAATAAGAGTTAAAAGTATTTTCTTTCTTACATATCACAAATTTGGAAATTTTGTATAACATTTTACTCTTGAAAGTAACATCTAACAAAGGTTAAAGTGTCTGGAGAGAATGCAGATGACACAACTTTGCAAATACTCGTACACTGTTCTTGTGCATCATCATTGAGGCCTGGACTTTTTAAAGCCATTTTAGGGACTCAGATACCTAAGAATCTTTAGACATATTAGAAAACCAGTATTCAGTATTAAGACATCCAAACCTTGGAAATGTTCTTTACTCTCAGCTTCAGAGATGCATTTTACAAAATAAGAACAAATTTTGTTCAAAAGGCCACAATGTCAATTTAAGTCTTTGGGCAAAACAAAAACCCTTCCAAAAAATGAAAGATGAAGACTCTTCAGTATGCATACCATATTGAAAAGTCTCATAGCATGTCCCAGCCCCATTACGTTTTCAAGCTAGTTCTCACATTTAACTGAGAGAGAGACAGCCTCAAACTCTCTCTCTCTCTTAATCTTGAATTCACAATGACAAACCTACCCAAAGCAGGAAAACTTTCTTGAACAGATACTACTTATCTGGTTAGTATGTTTGCTCTTGCTAATCACACAGTATTTATGATGACCACACAGAAATTTATGATGAGAAATCTTCTTTTAAAGGCATATATATCATTAGTCTTTCTACTAAGTTTCAGAGAAAACAAAAACTGTCTTAAGCATTTTGAGACATATTTCTGGCCTTTCTCCTTTGCCTTCCACCAAAAATTGCGTGACTATCTGTGGCCTTTAATTTTGTTCTGATTTAGATGGTTGAAAGAAGGAAACTATGGTTGTACAGTTGGTAAGAATACGTAATATTTTATGTTAGATTTGTAGACAAAATATTTACCTACTAAAGACTAATATTTTAAGTAGCAACAATCAATTCTTTACTCACAGAAAAATATTTGTGTTATGATAATAATAAATGCAAACATCTTTTAAAACATTCTTAACCGTGAAGTTAACTCAAAATGACATCAGTTAAAACTTTGGTAACACCGAAATGCTAGAGTTTCTCATTTAGAAGATTTAAATGTTTAGTTTTTCTTTAATCACTTAATCTGATTAAATTTCAATGTATTTCACTGCCTTTTCCCCCTCTTCAAATTTATTATTACATCATAAAACAATAAGAAGGCCAACTCACTGTTGTTGGATTTTGCACAGAAAAAAATGTGATTTAATTATCAAAAAAATACATGTAGGAAGGGGTCATAAATCCTTGTTTGCAGGATACCTGACTCTGGACAGTTCCACATTATACTAGTATTAAGAGATAGCATAAAAAGAACGCCAGATAAGTATATCAAACTTTACCAAAAAAAGTAGGATAATCAATTTTCATCACCTACTTGGTTCTGTAGCCATCGTTCTCACCTTCTTTGCTTTCTCCTCAGGCTTCTTTCTCTCTTTCTCAGCTTTTGGTTGAAGGAAATACTTGTAGGCTGCACAAGACCAACAGGTGTGAGGTACTCTTTGTCTTCTACAGTCCTCATAGGTGAAGAAAGTTTCAGCACAAATGGTGACTTATCAGCAACGATACTTGCAGAAGATTGTCCATGAGCTCCAAAATCACACTCACTTTCTGTTCCTCTGTGCAGTAATGTGGTAAAGGATGTAACTTGAAATTGGTTTTGTAGTTTGGCAGCACTAGAACTACACAGGTACTGAAAAGAACTACCATCTTTCCTACTGGACTCTAATTGCAAGCCACCCTGTGCGTAAACAGGTGGGTTTTCATTTTGGCCATGGTAAATTTTTCCCATACTGCAAGTTTCATATAACACAGGTGACAAAAACAGTCTCTTTCTGATATGTAAATCCAAACTACGTGATCTTCTGTGAAAAGGTTTTACAGTGCATGCATCATTTATAGGATAGGAAGAAGAGAGATTTCTATTCCGATTTAATGCCCTTAAGGGAAGCTTTTTACTTTTCATCTCATATCTTGGAGCTTTTACTTCTAGACAAAGCGCTTCTGTTAATCTTCCAGGACCATTATTATTTCTGGCCATGTAGGAAAGTCCTTGACTTTTGATTTGCAAAGTTGCAGTTAACACTTTGTGGCAGGTATCCTTACTAAAACCAGACTGATTTTTGAGGACAGGCAAATGTTTTCCTCATGATTTTGACAATTTAACAGACAAAGATGGTTGAGAGTCAGTCTGAGCTTTGCAGAAATGTATATTTACTAACTGTTCACAGAAATATCTTTTGTTGCAAACAAAGTTAAAGCCCACTAAGCAGGCCTCACAGAATGGACAGTGCGGTTTTCCAATTGTCCACTCTGCCTATTGGGGGCCCCTGGTGGTCTAGTGGTTAGGGTGCAGGACTCTCACCGCTGCGACCCGGGTTCGATTCCCAGCCCCCCGGGCAGATGGAGCTCGTCAGCCCTGTAAGGCAATCCATCTAAGAGAAGGTCACTCTAAACAAACCTACGTCCTGAGACCCTCACTGCCACTGTCCAAGCTTGCTCGGCCCCGGCAGATGAACCTCAGGATTAAAGGGTGGGCTCAGTTCAGCGCACGCTGGGTCTCACCTAAAAAATCCACTGCGCAGGCTCGAAGGGTTAATGACCTTTCCCAAATCTTCGCTCCCGAAGACTGGCCATTATTATTAGTCAAAGGGTGAGAGACTTCACTGTAGAAAGAAAATGCACCACAGATAATCTTCTGGTCAAAACTCTGCTTGCTACTGTTAACTAAGAAATCTGTAACACACATTTCAAAATGCAGGAGCTTTGAAATATGTTTAAAACTTGTCCAGAGATAGAATAATGCTGCAATACTAATGAAAACATTAGATTCTTAAAGCAGTGAAATCAATTTGCCATTTGTTAATCTGGAATTGGCAAGCACAGTTTCTCTGTTGAATTTTCTGAGTGCTGGAAATCCATAAACTTGCATACTAAGTAAGGTGGAAGGAGATAGCTTACAAAAAGAATATAGTTTTTAACTTTATTTACCCCACAAAAGCTTGAAATGCTACTTGTATCTTGGTATATGTAGCTTTACAACACAATCTCTGTGCAGAGACCATGACAAATCCTTAATACACTACATGGACACAGTTATTTTCATTATTTGTAATTTTATGAGTTTAATTTCAATCCTGAAGTCAACTTTTCAAAAGCAAATATATGTAAAAAATCTTTGAACTCCTACGTAATTACACAATTATTAGTACAACATATTTACACAACTATTAGTATTTTCAGTAAATATAGTAATCTGTCAAGAGAGACATTGTTGAGGATTAAAGTTGTGTAGGCGTTTTTAGGAGCAAAGACCAGATGAGAAACATTATCAACTCCAGTCACACTTTATTCACTAATGTTTCTAAAGTGAGGTTGAGCCATGAATACAGAAGCTGCCCAGCATTTCTGGTTTAAGCACTGCTTTCAGTTGCAAATGGCTTTCAAGGTAATTTGGGAAGATTGATGACTGGTACTTGTCTGATTGAAAGCTATACAAAATTTCAAAAATTTTGCAGTTTCAGGAAAAACCTCCCATCAACTTGTGTGAAAAAAAAGGTTATTTTTCACACACAGTGCTAGAAAATGTTCTGGAAACACTTATCAGAGAAACTTACTCCTGCCTTGTGAGTTAAAACCTCAAAATTACATGAAGCACCAAAGATGTGCCTTGCATCACACCTATGAGAATCTGTTTAAATCTGGACAGGTTTTTAACTTGGAGAAAAAAAAAAGATTAGTTAATATATAACCAAAGGCCAGTTTACATATGAGCAAAGGCTTTCAAATCCTTCAAAATTCCTTGAACATGCACAATCTGTCAGTTTATGAGGCTGACCAATGTATGCATATGCCATTACCAAAGACAAATTAGGCTCGTTCAGAGATTTACTCTCCAGAACTCCATTTTGAGATCACAGAGCACATAATCTCAGAATATGCTGAGTTGGGACTCACAAGGATCAAGTCCAACTCCTGCCCCTGTACATGGCCATCCTGAAGAGTCGCAACATGTGCCTGAGACTATCATCCAAATGCTTCTTGAACTCTGTCAGGCCTGGTTGCTGTGACCACTTTTTTGGGGAGCCTGCTCCAGTGCCCAACCACCCTCTGGGTGATGCCAAGGGCTAGGCACTAAAATTAAGGGAATAGCACTTTCTAGTGACTTTATTGAGGTTTATTGGCATGGAATAGTATCCTGGATTTTCAAATGGAGAGGAGGAGTGATTCCTGAAGATTAGGGAAGAAAGCTAGGAGCCTGGTAAAAATGGGAATGCAAGAGACAGTAAGGAAGAAGAAGGACATATCTATGTCCCTTATGCACAGAGACTGAGAGATGAGGTGTGGTACCAAGGAGCCTGAGACTGATTTAGCATGAATTTGGCAATGGACTGTGAAAGCATTGACTCAGTAAAAGAAGTAACAGCCTACCATTGGAGGAGGTGGCAGGGGAAAAATTAGCAAGATCTGAAAAGGAGCTGAAGGTACACAGATTTAATGTTGGACTGCATAAAGACGAAAAATTTGGAATGGTTAGAAAAAGAAGCCAAAACAAGTGATAAGTGATGGGGAAAAGAAAATACAATAAAGGCCACTAGCAGCACTAGGTATATATGTACAATTATTGAAGATTATCTATACACTAATATGTGCATGAAATCCAAGGAGATCAGTTAAGAACAGGGACAGATGGCGAAAGAGAACCGGCTGGGAACTAGTGGGTTTTTACAGCCTGCAAATAGACTTTGCGCTTATGTAAAATGATTTAGCTTTTGATTCAGGAGTCATACAGGAGAAAATAACACATGATCACAAAATTATTCAGAGCCCAGGAGGATCTGAAGATAACTCAGAATTGTTTAAAAACCGCACACATTTATCCATAAAATCACAGGATCTTGCCAGAGAAGCCAGAGTTTGAGGCACGAGTTTCTAGGATATTAAATGACAAAATGAAGACAAAGATGTTGGTGTTCACAGAGAATTATGTTCTCTGCCTTTTTCACCAGAGGAGCACTGCTCCTCTGCAACCTTGAGTAAATATGTCAAGTCTTTTCTGGGCAGTCTATGGGTTTTGTATTTCCCTGGTCTCCTAGCTGACCCTCTAAGTTTTCAAATGCAGAAGGTAGAGGTAAATAGAATTCCTTTACAGTTAAGTATGAAAAGAATAATACTACTATCAATATTGAATCTAATTTTACTGAAATAATATAACAGGCAAAGTACTGTCAAAAACTGCATCCTTTTGATTTAGGATTCATGATTAGGTAATTTTGTAAAGTGAGAAAATACCTCATGACCCATAATTTTCAATGCACCTCCAAGATCAATGTTTCTCAAACAGATACACCATTCTGTTATTCATCATAGAAGAAAAAAAGACTGCTAATTTTAAAAATAATTTAATTAATGTTTAACAAAATAAAATGTAGAGCAATACAATGAAGGAAGAGAAAATAATTTTTTTTTAATTTTTAAATGCTTAGTTTTACAGTCATAACATTTGTTTTTTCTTTGTGCATCAATTTCAGTGTGGATTTGTTAGAACAGAAGTTACTTAGAATATAGTAAAACTTAGACACTGAAGTCTAAGCAGAAAAGAATGCAGATGTCATTTCCTTATCACAATCAAAGACTCATCAAAGAAAATCTGTAGGGCAAAAGAAAAGCACTGTTTCTGCTTATTAATATCTATGCAAAAACATTAACTTCCAGACCTAAAACAACTTAGAGAAAATACTCAACTGAAGCAATCAGTACAACAGGAAAGTTATGAGATGGTTTGTAATCTCAAATGAGCAGTTAAAACTCAAAAGCAGTGACACTGGCTTGTCATCAGACCTTCGAGTTTGTAGGATGGTACCTATTCATATGACATAATAGCACATTAAGTATAAAAGACAACACATGAAATTCCAAAAACTGATCTCTTAACAAACCCTCAGTCCAGTTTTATGAGGAAACATGTTTCTTACTGATGCCAATTTTATGCCCCAAACAGGCGCGGAGAAACCACTCAGAGACAGAGTTTAGGTCTTTGAGTAGCGAGGCATTTATTGCAATACAACATTGGGGAGGCTCCCAGCTCACGCTGGACAAAAGAGCTCCAAAGTAGTAGTGAACATCTGGATCCTTTTATACAATTTTTGCTAAGCAATTGCATCATTATTCATGAATATTCACAATATTGCAACATCTAGTTTTAATGTTCATAACAGGAGAAGTTAAGATGGAGTTAGGGGCACGGTCTTCAGTTTGGGGAGAAACATGGTGGTAGTTCCTGTTCTTTGGTCTCCTGAAGGGTCTTTTTCCTCCTCTTCATTGCCATAAACTTTTGACCTTTCCCTACTTTGGATGGTTTCCTTGTGCATTTGGCAGAAGTTCCTGATATCTGGCAAGAGTACCTAGGCCTCGGCTCATCTCTTTTTCCTTATCTTCCTCTGTCTCCCCTCCATATGCCTATTTTATGTGTATGTTAGCATTTTTGGTTCTCTCTGTTTCCCTGTGTACTTACTTTATGTCCTTTGTGTCAGTGTCCTGCATTCCTTAATGAGTTATTATCTCTGCTGTTCCTAAGACTTAGTTCTCTATGCTTTCGCTCAGAGCATGGATTCTAAATTAACTCTCTAATTCTCATTCTGCTAATATCACATTCATTTCTCAGGCCTTGCTCTGCTTCATTACTGTCACTGTCAAGATATATGTTAGTACTACAAGATATAGCGAGCAAGACAAAGCAAACCCCAAAACCTAGATAATAAATATAATATTAAGCATTGACAAATATGCAGAGGTGCCCATGACAGTTTTTTGGACAAACAATACACTCATCTATAAAGGAGCAGGAAACACAATTTATCACTTGTAGCATTTCTGCATACATTAAAAACAAAACAAAAGAAATCAGCATTTAAGAGGGAGAAAAAAAAATCTGTAAATGGTAGTGATAGAAGTTACTGAGAAGAATTCCCTCAGCTATAGACCTTGGCAGAAAAGTGTTCTTGAAACTTGATCCCCTTAGTTATTTCACATTTTGAATGTAAAGATGCAAGAAAAAAAAATCTACCTTTTCAATGACACATTTCACCCACTCTGGAATGGCATCTAAATTGCAAGAGTCCTGAGCAGCAGCTGAAGTTTGTGATGTCTGTTAAAGAAAAAATTACTGTATTGATATTTAACATTAATGTGAGATCTTTTTCTTTGAATACAGCCAGAAGTCAGCTTCCCAAATTCAGTAAATATTAACAAAAGATTAAACTCAAATATGTTTATGTATTTTTTATTCTAAAAATCACGTAGATGCTGTCAATAATTCTCTATTTCTGAATCTAAGGACATTGGACAGACTCCACAGTGGAGATGTAGATGTCTGGAGGTGGTTTTGTCTTGTTTACAAGAACAGAGAGCATGCAATTACAGCTTTTCCAAGAATATTTGTAAAATGATTTCAGAAGCACTATCAATGGGCATAATTTTCCAGTTAAATCTGAAAAATGTAAGTTATAGTTTATAAGAAGACTGTGATCAGTACTGCACAAAGGACACACATAGTTTCACATTAATTTTCTAATGCTGTTTAGAATAACTAGCTGAGAAATCAGATAGTCTTATCAACTAGAGTTTTTACTGATACAATGTGATCAACTAAATAGAAAAAAAAATAAATCTAACACCCTATAGCATTTCACTAACTCATACTAAAATAAAAACAATTACCTAACTAAAGTAATAAAGATGGCTGAAAATATAAGGAAATTCTAGTGAGAAAGTCCTAAAAGCAGCTGTTAAATTTTATGAATATAGAAAATGTAGGCTCCTATATTATGGAATATAAGTTTCATTCTGATAAAAATTGAAAGTGGGACTATACACAGAAGATAGAAGCTTTTAGAAATTCTCCAAGTATTAACAGCAGACAGGTCCATTTACCATGTCTACGCTATTGTCTCCCTCCTATCTGTGGAGAGTACCTGTACTTCAATTTGGATATAATTCTAATTTAAAGTGCTTATACTATATTTGTAACTTCAAAATTTGTTTTAAAATCTGTTCTACAATTTTCTTTTTTACTCATATTTCAGCTGTGTCTTTGAGTGAAGGTCTAAAATTCATCAGGAAGTCAACATACTGAAAATATCATTCTTCTCATCATAGTACTATCTTTGCCTCCCAACACCTTCAGATATAGTGTTAAAACACACTTTTTTATCTTCTGTCTACATAATCAGAGAAAGAGCTACTTCAGTTAATGATGGTGGATCTCCACTCACAACTAAAAGCATCACCATGGGGCATGGACAAAGATACCTCCTTCTTTCCACTAGTAAAAAAGTGGATACATTTTTTTCATTAAATGAGTTGCAATTCCCACATCCCTCCCTAAAAATCACTTCAAACCATTCACAAAAAACACCCTCAAGTATAAAGCATGAAAATTATTCCAGGGCCTCAAGCTCTCTAAGTGGAGTGATTAAAACAAGGTTTATTAACAATACTAATTAAAAATGATCTTAAAAATAAGTTTGTTTCTGCATCTACTGGTTATAACCTTCTCCAGTGCCAAAAAGAATGTTGTAGCATTACTAATGTGTTAATAAAAAACACCAAGACCTTCTTTTCTATTTGCTTCTTCACTTTGATTCAAGATCACCAGATGTAAGCACAGTCTTTTTGGCATATTTGGAAAGACTCTAGGTCGTTTTGATTACTAACTTCCATCATAAAACAGTAGGAAATACTCTGTCATAGTTTTATTCTGTATAATTATATTTCTGTGTATTTTAATAAAGAAGATATAAATTACTAAATTGTATTTTAGCCTGGCAGGGCAAACCATACTTTGGACATACAAGATTAATTACAAAGTGAGGCTAATACTTCTCCTTCATTTAAAACAAACAGCACTGGAGAAACTTACAAACTCACTCTAAAGAAGGTATACTTACTTCAGATAGTTCTTTTCCATTGCATTTGGCAAGGCAAACAGAATTTGCTATGTATTTTCTACAACTCCAGCAACACAGAACATCAGCCTCTTGGTTATTCATTATTTCAGCTTCTGGTATCTTGGCTCTGCATGTCAATTTGTAAAGACCACAAAACATACAATTTGGTCACTTGCTGACACTACCACTTGTCTCTTGCTACCTTGAAGTCTATAAGCATTCTCATCACTGCAGAAGAGACTAATACTTTATTCACAAACATTCTTTGATCTTGTATAGCATACTACCTAGATGCTTTTAATAGTAAAGTGACACAGCTGGTTTTATTTCCAGGTTGCATAAAAGAATTAGAAAGCAACAACAACAAAACAACTAAAACCAAACCAAACAAAAGCAAACAAACAAACAAGCAAAAAACCTGTCCAATATTTAGACAAAAGACAAGGAACACCCTTTTTCACAGAATATGTCCATAGAAATAAATCATTGCTATCCTAAACATTAAATAAGCATACTCACATCTAATACCACATAACAAAACTGAATGCCAACATAAAACCATGCAAGACAAAGACTCCTTTTACAATATGCCCCTGGAGGCTTGCTCCTTAGAAGTTTTTTTGTGTGGACGGATCAACACTACTGGTGGCAACAGACTTTTTCACAGACCTGTATCGACCTCCCTGTGAATGACCTAAATTCACAGAATCAGAGAATATGCCAAGTTGGAAGGGGCCCACAAGGATTATCAAGGACAAAACAAATATTCTATTTTACTCTGTGTCTTGCTGTGTTCTCTGGTGTCTCTCTGGTCTTCTCTACCCTGTGTCCAAAGTCTTCCCTTTTTGTTATGCTTTCTTCAAAGGTCCTCCAGCTCTTCTTTCTACCCACTTCTGTTTTTATCCTCTTGTGCTAGCTACATGAAAAAAATAAGAAAATCTTTTTCATCTACATCTCAATTGAAGCCCTATACTAGTTATGCTTATTCACAGTGCTAAAGTGCGCAGTGCTCACTGATGGGGAAGCTGGAGTATAAAACTAAAAATCAGTATCAAGAGAATCTCTGTTCTACCAGTCCAAACATCTGATTTTGCAACTATTTTAACTTTTAATTTTTATTTAGTTTTCACTAAGGAAAGAAACTCTGAGGCCTTCACTATAGGCTGTCTGAAGAGCAGTTTGCCTTACTGAGTCATATAGACTTTTGCATTTTCCCTATTTCTACCTTTCTTTTTCTGCTTTGTTTTCTGAATCAAAGACTATGAAACACACAGAAAGGTTACTCATTATTTTTCATTTATGTCTGAGGTCTTCAATCAGCAGATTTTCTACATTTTCTACAAATTTAAAGAGTCTGGAATACTGGATGAACAGAAATGTGTGCATAATTTAGACTCCTGGCCCAGTGTACATGCAGCTTTTAACAACCAGATCCATTCTAGGCTTAAAAAGTGAAATTAAGGCAAACATCAAATATTTTCTTGCAATATCACAATAAATAAAAATAAATTTTTATTTAGAATCCATTAATGTATTTTAACATAAGGTGGCCAAGCAGAAGGCCAGGGAAGAGACACTTAGGTAAAAGGTAAGAATCTATACTAGTAACCCATCTTGTTCATGACAAAACATGATGATTCAAACGTTTTAACTTAAGCAGGATATCTCTCAAGTTTTTACTACCCTACTTGTGTCAGTGCTGCTTTCTGTACCAGACACATTTCAGAACTGGAATGCATAAAATTATGAACCCTTCTATGAATATTTTTTTTAAAAGTAAATCCACACTGATAAATTTTACAAGTACTTTGTATCACTTTGCTATGATAACATTAGGCATCATAGGGTAGTAAAAGAATGATTATCAGTTATGAATTTCTTTATATCACTCAAACACCTTAAACCAGTTCTAATTAATTCTTCATAGCTTCTTAACACAATTCTAGAATTAATTAATTTTACAACAGCCCAGTGAGAGCCCCAAATCTAAGTCCAACCAGAAAGGACTGAAAGACTTTATGCACAAGGTTAGCTCAGACATTCTTTTCAGGTACAGCTATATTCTCATCTATTCAAATATATTCTAGAAATGGTCTACACTTAGTGATATACACCTTACATATCTTTATATGCTGCATTTGTGTATTCAAATGGTATATTGAAGTCTCTACATACATTCTATTACCCTCAGAGAAAAAGATGCTTTGCTATCTGTTGAACAGCTGCTTCATTTGAGGCTGATGATGCTCACTGGAGCAGGGTAAAAACCACTTGGTGTTAGACCCCTCAACAATCAAATAAAGGACTGATGAATAAATGCACTTGCTATATTTAAAAGACAAGGTTAAAGTAATGCAAACAAAGGCTCTCTAAGGACGACTGGCATTTGAAGTGATTTGAACATCCCTCTTATCTATATATCTTCCAAGCATGCGTTTTTTACTGCAAAATAGTTTTTTTTTCTAATTTATTTTTATGGTTTGAAAGGTTCTTAGTTCAGCATATACTGTTGATTTAAAGCTACACTTACATAAGAGAAATTAGTCTATAGCACAGGTTGTAATTTGTGTAACCAAGAATGCTGATAGTGAACAACATGGGAAAAAATCCAGCTCAAGTGGATACTTTTTAACACTATGTTACAGGAGGCTGCAGTGTTTTTCTGGCCCAGCAGTAATTAAAAAGGAAAATTCCTGTAGATCTATTAAAATTCTGCATGCATGTGCCTTTTGCAGTTCTTACAAAGGACAGAAGAAACACTACAAATGCACGTTAACACATCGCAGAGGTTTCTGTTAGAGAACAGCAAATGAGATGTTTCTGATTTATCACATCAACATTTACTTCTATTTTTATTTGCACATAACTTCAATTGGAACTCAAATAAAAGCATATGAACATAGGATTTTGAAGTGGGTTTGTAGTTAAATGCAGTTCAAGTTATTTGTCTTTCAGCAAAAAGTGCCAGCATAAAGATAGAAGTTTTCAATTTGGAACTCAGAAAAGTGTCACCCTGACTGGGCCTTTTCAGCTTGGCACTGGGCCATGTGTGTTTTGTCTGTACTGCTTCCAGATCAGTTCCTTTGTGTGAGTTCATGTTTGCCTCCAAAATAGCATGTAGACATATCTGAGTGTTAAAAAGCCTGTGCTCCTTGATGGATTTTGTTTGATGACCTTTAAATCCTTTCCTGTGATTCAGGACCAGTAAAACCAGTACCAGAGTCCTAAGACTTCTTTTCCAAGTCACTCCCAGTTCCCTTTTTTGAAAATCATTTGTCTAGCCTTCTTTTAGAGATCTTTGATGAAGATTTCACAACTTTCCAAAACTATTTCATTACCTTCTTATCTTTTATTAACTTTTTCCCTTGCACCTAAACTATATTTTCCAGTAATTTCCATTATTTTCTGTGAATACAGAGAACAAAAAGGCTCCTTTTCTTCTGTGCAAGAACATTTAACAACTTTAAACACTTATTATATATTATCTCCCCTTCAAACTTGTCTTTGAGCTAAATAAATCTTTCTCACTTTCCTCATAGATCATGCTTTCTTGGTCTCCAACTGTCACTGTCATTTTGTGAACTCTTTCAAATGGGTCAGCCATTCTTGCTGAATACAAGATGGATGATGAACTCTGTGAAGCTTCACTAGCACTGAGGAAACGAAACAGATTATATAAATTTTCAAGGGAAAAAAAGAATGAAGGATGCCTATTTATATCTAAATTTCTTGTAAAATTCAAATTGCATAATGTATTAAGCTTTGGACATTTCTTCTTCAAAAACATTGCTAAAAAACTCCAATTAAAAATTTTTGAATGTTCAAAGCGAAGAACTAAAGAAAACCGTCTAAATTTGTGTTGAAATTTTATCTAGAATTTCAACTTTCTCGCCCTTCGTTACCAAATACATAAAAATGAGAGAATGAGTACAGTAGCATAAGTGGTTATCAAGGTGTTTTTGTTCAAAAATTACCTGTGATCCCTTCAGAACACTGCAGCCATCAAAATTACAATAATAATTGGGTTGCAGAGAGAAATTAGGGCACAGAAACTTAAGCATTAATTACTGAGAGTCTTGAAAAAGGTAGATGAGTGTCAGCTTTGAAGAAGCATGACAGAGAGAGGCTAGATGAGCTGTCCTAGCAAACAAGAGTCCATACCATAAGTTCCTGCTTACAGAAAAGGAGAAGCTGACACTCCACCAGATAGAGAAACCTTCACGGAAGACATTAAGGTACACATAAAAACTTGCTGCTGATTTCTCATCTCCAAATTATTCCTTCTTAAAGAAACACTTGAAAAAACCCTACTTAAACAGTGTTTCTCAATAAAGTAGCACTTATACGGGAAGACGGAAAAGAAAATGTAAAGAACTGTCTCCAGGCTGCCAAAGAAGAAAAGCAGCAAGATGCATGAAGAGCTGTGCCATCTGCTCCTGTGCCAGCTCCTTCTCGACTATGAACTGTTCTACCAGTTCTGCTACTGTTGTGTGATCAGCTTCCATATCATAGACCAGTAGTTGATTACAGAGGATGGACAGCGTGTGATACTCTTGTAGCAAGACTAACCCATGTAATTAAATGACAGTTAACAAAAAAAAAAAAAGGAAATAATGCTACTTGCAAGGTATTGCTTAACTTGCTAAAACTGCCTGCTGCATGATGCTGAAGTCAACAGGTCTTCAGGAACAGCTGGGATGTGGAACGTATAAACAGCTGTGACAGGGAACCGACCCAGCGGGTCTACAGACACAAGGGATGGGCGCCTAGCCGCTTTCTTCCATGAGATCCCATGAGACCAGCACTGCTTGTTTCATGCTCTTGCACGTACAAACATTACCCGTTTCACAAAACAAAGGATGAAACAAGCAGGAACACGGCGCCTTGTCCCAGCGTAACGCGAACTCCTGGCCGCAAGTCACCAGGGGGCACCGCCGCAGGTGCTGCAGCTGCCCACGGCCGCGCCCGCCGGTGCCCGGACACCCCTGAGCCCGCCAGGCCAGGGGCGGCGGTGCTGAGGGGCTCCGGGGGAGCGGCGTTGTTGCCGCCGCCGCGCCGGGCGCCCCCTCGGGCGGGCGCTGGGGTCTGCTCGACTCGGGCGCTCCGGGGAGGTGTCCCCACACCTCCGCGCTCACTCCGCAACCGCGCCCGCCCAGCCAGGGCCCGGCTCGGCCCCACGGGCAGCGGCGGCGCGTCCCGGCCCCACTCAGCTCACCGGGCAGCGCAGAAGAGGTGGCGGCGCTGGAGCGGGCGGGGATGGGGTTGCGCAGTAGCAGCTGCTCCTGCGAACGGGAAGAGACGGGAGACAAACGGCGTCGGAAAGCGCTCCGGGAGCGCGGCCCCCGCCCGGCCGAGGGAGTCACCCCGTCCTCCCCGGCAGCTGCCACGTCCCTCGTCTCCCGGGAGCCTGGGACTCCGCCGGCTGAGGGCCAGCCCTGCTGCCGCTGGGAGGAGGGCAGTGCCCGCGCCCTGCCGAGCCCTGAGGGGGCACGTCCCGTCGCCTCCTGAATGGCAGGGATGGAGCCGGGGTGGGGTCGGCCCTGGCGTCAGGCTGTGACCGTGGAGAAGAGGGATTTGGGAGAACTAAACCAAAACTTTTCAATAGACACTGGGACAAAAAAATGCTTTCTCTCAGGCCCGACATGGTACAGTCAAAGAGAGGGACTAAGGACATCAGAGACACCGGCAGGTGCGAGCCAGCCGGTAGTGCTGGGTATCGTCAGTAGCCCCTGACTGTTTTAATGGGCAGCAAGAAAAAGAAGGAAGCTTAAAATGAACTGAGGTGGGGGAACAAAGGAAACTTATGAATCGTTGTAGGGAATTTCTGCGCGTCACGGAGGACTGCGTGGAAGGAAAGGCAGCACGGCGGCCCTTTCGTGAGCGTCTGTACCGCGGCAGCGAAGGGACACGAGCTGGCGAGTCCCAGGGGCGGTTTTTGCACCTCCGTGGTGTTTTGCCCTCTTGCGTTTTGCCCTCTTGCGGCGATACTGTGACTAGAACGGGAGATAACATGTCCTCGTAGCTCACGGTCTGTTGATGTTTGCTGCACTTCAAACAGAGAGTAAGGAAGGCTGGATTACTGAGGAAAATAAAATTAGAGTCCGTTCACCTGTTGGCCTGTGGGGGTGACTGGGTACTCTGAAGCCTCCCTTTCACTCTTTCTCCTACATTTATGGTATATAATTTCTGTGATTTTCCTTGCATTTCAGTGTATAACCCCTGCATCTGCCTGATGCAGAAATTAAGTTCAAGGTAGGGTATATATGATATGCTTTTTACTGGGATAACCCCTTAAGTCACGGTGAGCATTTAAAGGATCAGCGCCAAACTGGCACACAGCAAGTCAGAAACCAGAGAGTATCTTTGCTGTTCTGTGACAGGGATTGTATATCAGGAACACTATACTGAAGGCTGTATGCAGGGCATAATTGAACACTGAAACACACTGCAGGGCTGTATTGATTTGTGCATATACTGTTTTCATGTTCATGGCACATGGACAGTATATCCAGTTCACAGGCACTCTATGAGCATCTCTAACAAGTGGTATGTTTTCCAGTATTCACACCAGGAATGCATTGTTTCCGTTTCAACAGTGTTGATGTAGCTGCCTAGGAAAAGGGATGACCTGATTGTCATTCCTGTAGAGCTCCTTTCTTTACCAAAATGTGTCACCTTCAATAGAAAAGGTTACATTTTCTGCAGCTATTCAGTAATGCACTAATGAATACCCCAGGCATTAACCCAGTTCTGTAATCCCTCATTCTTTGACCCATTAGGCTGCTCCACTAACTGGGATCATCTCCAAGACCTATTATATATTATATATTATATCTATTATATTATATATTATATATTATATCTATTATTTGGTCATCTGTTCTCGAGGAAAATATTTTAGAAAATGGCCAAAGAGGGAACATTAGAACAATTTACTGAAGAAACGGAAATTGTTGGGTAGAACTTTCGGGACTTGATACTGAGCACAGGAGGAAAATTATTGTTGCCACTACCCATTTTGTTTGTTTTTTTTTTTTCCCTAAGCAACTTGCACGCTTAAACAGATTTGTAATTTGGAGAAACCCAGTGAGCAACACCAGCCTGTTTCACCCTTCACTATGGGATTAGTTGCTGGATAAACTTTGGTAACAGTAGGCACTACAATAGCCATAAAGAACAATATTTTTACTGTATGGAAATTATCATATTTTTGTATTTCATTATCCTTTTGGAAATACAGCCTGACTTTCAATCCAGCACATCATTGAAAAGCTTTTCCAATTACAATGTAAACTGTAAGAAATGACATTTCATTCCCTTGCACTTGAAGATAATGGTTTATATTTGATTTGTATATATATTTGATTTGTAAACCCACTAATTTGAAGTACAGCGGTATGATAGGAAGTTTACAGAAGTTAGTGGTGGCACTTATTTCCTTTTTAATCTTACACTTTCTATGAAAAGAAGATTATCCTTGGTAATAAATTTGTAATGGTTTGTATTTCATTTGTGAATTCGTAAATTCGTACTTCTACAAGAAATCTAAAGCCTGTATAAAATATGCATCAATTAACTAAACATTTGCTTTCCTTTTACTTCTTTTTGAAAACCAATCAAATCCATCTGAAATTACTCTGTGTGGTGATAGGGTGGAATATAGTTAGGGAAAACATTTTTTAAGTCACTTAGGACTAGATCTAATAAAGGAATTTTTAATATAGTTTTAGCTTGTGATTGCTTATCCCCTGGAATGGAATCTAGAACTGTGTTAAATGTAGAGATCCTTTCTATGCTTCAGAACCCCACCGGTCAAGGAATCTTCCTGTCCTGAGAGAGGATAAAAGAAAACACCATAAAGAAGAAAAATAAAGTAAGTCAGTGAACCTGATTGTTTATCACCTTTGGGAGTTAGTTCCTAGAAGTAAAACTAAAATGGAAAAAAGACCTAAAGCCACTTCTCTCTTCAACTTGCTTATTTATCTCCCATTTTGCATAACTTGGGAGAACATGCTAGTTATCTAGCTAAAAATAAAAGCACATATTCTTTTTCTCCATGGTGGCATGGCTTCAAAGAATTTGTGATCTATGGGACTATATGGGATGGAAAAGATGCCCAAAGAATTGTGGAGCTCACATGGGAGAGGGAATTCCAGGGATTCTCAAGGATGAACTTAAGTGTTTTACACCAAATAGACATGTAAAATTACATTAACAACCCTTTGAAAAGAGTTTTTTACTATTTTATATTTAGTTGGTGTAAATAATAAGGACATTACAGTTAGGGCAATCATAGTAAATTTTAATCAGGACTTTTGAATAAGTTGATTCATTTTAGATTATTTTTAAAGAGAAACAAAAGTGTGTCTTCCAGTAAAGGGCTTGACTTGAAGACTGAGCTTAGATAAGCCAAAGAAATTCATGCAGTCTGAACTACTAAGGAATTTGGAGAGGATATCTGAAAGTGAAGTTAATTTTTGTTAAAGTAACAAGAATTTATATCCAAGCAGGGAAAATGCTTTCAGAAATAAAGCTAGAATGAAATGGATAGATAATTAAATAAGTATTTTAGACAGATCTTCAAGGAATAGAAAAGAACAAAAAGGAATTAAAAAAATTACTGATCAGCAAATATAATTTTTTTTTTTTTAGAGTGTGGAATGGCAATTAAAACTGCTCAAACTGAAGTTGGATTAGAACTTGTGAAGAATGTTAAGAAAGTGCTTTGTGTGATTTATGTGCTATATGAGTGTGCACTTGGAGACTGTTGGCAAGAATTTCTGTTATCAGCTGGGGACTCATCAAATGAAAACAATAAGGAGGTAAAGTATTAGAGTGTATTAATTGGTCACAGATTGTCTGTGCATTGGCTGTGTGATGTAGCTCTGAAAAGACAAGACTGTGCCCTGGACTGTGGGTATATTTCCAGTACATAAAGGAGAAAATCAATACTCTGGTAATTCCTTATTTGAAATAATGCAGGGAATGATAATAATATTTTTTTTAAGAGATAAATTTGGACTAGACTAGTGTGACAGTTTGAGCCACATTTAGAAATCCAAAATCCAATTTCCAGCCTTCCCCCCACCCCTTCCCACAATTTATCCTAACACTGGAGAGAAACTTTCAGACCAGAGGCTTCTGTAGGGAAAGAGGGAAGTATATACATTTATTTACACAAATAAATACTATACAAACTAAAGGCAACTATATATATATATTACATTTCTATCAATCAGTCCTTTCAAGCCCCTCCTTTAACTTTAGTCCAGGAGCAGCTTTTCAAGGCTGATATGTAACACAGTCTTTTGCTGTGGGACTGTTCTGGGCTCCTGAACACTCCCTCCTCACCAAGTTCCAGTTTGTTGCAGTTTCTCTCCTCACGAAGTCCAAGAAGATAGCTTTGAGTCCTTGCTCTTCTGCTGCTCGTGATTTCTCCCTCTCGGTCTCATACCTTGGTTCGTAGGCTGCTGCAGTGTATCTTATCAAGCGTACGCGTCCTGGAATCTTCATTCCTCCATGTCAGTTCTCGGCTGCCCCTGGTCAGCTTTGGCAGGCAACTCCGGAGCTCTTGGCTCGCCTCCAGTTTCGCCTGGGATTCTTCTCCCAAGCGCCAAGCTGATTTATCAGCCCGTCCACTTGGCTCTGCTCAAATGCTGAGCCTTAAAATCCACCCCCCACCAGGCTAAATGCAGTGGGGGGGAAAAAGCCCCCTAGCCTTGGCCACAGGCAGCTCGGTTCAGTTATGCACTGTCCCAAGCGTCCCGCAGCTGCAGGGCGGGGGAAAGAAGACCTAGCCTCCTCCCTCTTACCTCAGGTGCTGTGAAATTCTTCTTTCACAGCACACACTCCAAATGCTGACTCTAACTCTAGCCAAGGCTGAGTTGGGGGATCACAGGGCTCCCCTCCCCGCCCCCCCCGAGGGGAAGAGAGGGAGCCCAGCCACCCCCTGGCCTTGTCCACCTACACGCAGCAGACACCAACAGCAAAACAACCAAGACAGAACTTGCCAACCCCTTCCGGTGCTGTGATATATGATTTTGAGCAGAAGCGAACAACATGGACAGTGATTGGCCCTCCAGGGAACACTGCCCTGGCACCCAATCACCTCTGAGCCCCCCCAGCCTCTCAGGGGGGCCAATTTCAAACTATGACAACTAGGAATGAAAAAGTAATACTAAGATGATAAAACTGAATAGAGTCTGCCTTATGGAAAGACAGAAAGAGCTTTGCTTATTCAGTTCAGCAAAACAAATGCTGAGAAAGGTTTTCCTTGATAGGACATCAGTGAGGAAATAAAAGATTATTACAGCCTCATATAGCCAGGAATATGTGTATATGTGGATGGCTGTCTTTATATGATAAAGAATGATGTACGCTCTTCGTGAGGTGGAAATCAAAGAGATTTTATTTGAATTTCGTTCCTCCTTTTATCCCCTAAAACCATGTGACGTTCTAACCAAC